TTATTATAGTGGCAAAATTATTACTTGTTGAGGTGCTCTGGCTTTCCACTGCAAAGAAAACGGGATGCAGTTGACTGCTAAGACTGATATTTTATTAAAACACTTTATTTCACATTAAATCATTTAGAACTGGGCAAAATCTAGTCAGCTGCCTGTTGCATGGCCCGAAAACTAAAAATGATTTTTACACTTTTAAATGGTTGGGAGGGAAAATTTTTTAAAGAATATTTCATGACACATGAAAATTATATAAAATTCAAATGTCAGGGTCCATAAAGTTTTATCTAAGTACAACACATTCATTTACGTATCATTCATGGTTATTTTCATGTAATAACATAATTGAGTAATTGCAACTGAGACTGCACAGTCTACAAAGACTAAAATATTTACTAACTGGCCCTTTACAGACAAATCTTGCCTATCTCTTCCTAGACCATTCCATTTTTATCCTTCTAAAAAGGTACTTTTTTTTTTTGAGGTGGAATCTCACTCTGTTCCCCAGAATGGAGTGCAGTGATGCGATCTTGGTTCACTACAACCTCCACCTCCAGGGTTCAAGAGATTCTCCTGTTTCAGCCTCCCGAGAAGCTGAGACTACAAGCACATGCCACTGTGCCTGGCTAATTTTTATATTTTTAGTAGAGACACATCTTTCACCATGTTGGCCAGGCTGGTCTTAAACTCCTAACCTCATGATCTACCCACCTCAACCTCCAAAAGTGCTGGGATTACAGGCATCCATGGAGATGGCCAAAAAAGCTACTACTTGTATTAAAATTAGCTGGGTGTGGTGGCACACACCTATAGTTCCAGCTACTTGGGAGACTGACGCAGGGGAATCGCTTGAACACAGGAGGCGGAGGTTGCAGTGAGCCAAGACCATGGCACTATACTCCAGCCTAGACTACACAGCGAGACTGTTTTTTAAAAAAAAGAATGTTCTGTAAAATGTATACGGCTGGGCATGGTGGCTCACGCCTGCAATCCCAATACTTTGGGAGACTGAGGCAGGTGGATCACAAGGTCAAGAGATCCAGACTATTCTAGCCAACACGGTGAAACCCCGTCTTCACTAAAACTACAAAAAATTAGCTGGGCATGGTGGCGCGTGCCTGTAATCCCAGCTACTCAGGAGGCTGAGGCAGGAGAACTGCCTGAACCCGGGAGGCGGAGGTTGC